CACACACACACACACACACACACACACACACACACACACACACACACACACACACACACACACACACACAGGAAGAGGTACAACATTACTGTTGAATTCAGGTTCTGCGCTCTGTTAATCAGGGCTGGAGTGTGCGGGCTCCCGCCTGAGGGTGTAGGTCACTGACTGCTGACAGACAGTTGGACAGTTGCTCCAGCAGATGTGTAGATGTGTACGTACATACAGAGCATTGAGGTCATTCCTTTGTTGTCTCTCATTCACTGTGTTCACAGCGCTGCCAGTTTAGACTGAGAACTAAAAGCAGAGAGGAGCAACCTCCGATTCCACATTCCACACTACGATGACCTTAAAGCAGATTTCATATTTGGACGCTTTAATGTTTACAAAGCTGCTTTATGATTCACATAAGGTGATGATCCCTTAAAATGAACCATGTGGTGTAAAAATGTCAACATGCCTGCAAAATCTTCAGCACCTCTGCTCTCTTGTTGACCTTTTCTTGTTCTGTTTCCTCCTTCCCAGGGTGCAGCTGCTTGGAGAGCGGCCTTATCTCTCCTCTGACCGCAGGGCTCACAGGTCCAAGTCCATCTCGCTGTTCCAGGTCAAAGACAGCCAGATGACCTGATGTGTCTTTATCCTGTTTAAGTGAAAGCAACTGTGAGTCTGTTTATTCTTTACACTGTTATCTATAACGTTTCACAAGTTTAAACTCTTACTAATAGATTAAGAGATGGAATAGATTAAATCATTAAAATACCACACTTAAGAAAATAAAAGAAAGCCAATACATAAAATTATTGTGAAAGTGAACAAATTGTATTTATTGCCTTTACTGAACATATGAAATGAGATTTGAATTAAAGTCAATGTGAAACAGATATTATTGAGGAAAGTCTCAGGTCTTCCATGTTAAGTATGTTATGTAAGTAAAGTTTACTATGTAAGAGTAAATGGAACAAATGGTAACGCTACACTCTATGGAATTTAACTCCCAGTGTTGTATGAGAAAGGTGGTTGGGGAGTGAGTTATATCATTTTTTTGGCAACTCAATTTCTCAAGGTTGTTCTGGCAGGTCACACGAGAGCATATCCATTCTCTTCTACTGCACGCCATTCCCCTATGTCTCGATCGTGTGTTAACTCTTTCTGTATAACTAAAGAATATCTAAAAAACATACATTGTTAAAATACACGTGGAACTTTCTTCTGTTCTATAAGCAAAAGCAAAGATATTACCAGGGTAATGATGTGAAAGTGAACGGTAACTGAGGAGTTAATCAGTTGTGTTCAGACGTCATACATGCTCTGACATTACTTGTCTGCAGCTCTCTGTTAGTCTTGTTTGTTCACTTCTGAACAACTCCCTACATATGTGATGGAGACAAAGATGTGGTTGACCACAGCACAGAGCTCAGAGACGAGGTTACATTAACTTCTGTTTTTGGGCGAAAAACGGGGGGTGGTGGTGTCTCTCTGCTTAATCATGCAGAACAATCTAAGCCATCACACAGGGCATCGTTATCGAGTCAGGGCCTCAGCACACAGTCGGCCACTTGAATGTTTCACATTCTTGGGCTCGTGTGTGGGTGGTGAGTGAATTCACAGAGTCCTTTATACAGAGAATGGAACAAAGGCAGAGACAAAGCCAGACAGCATGGGGTTTTGTGACAAACTGAAAAATAAAATAAAACAAAATAAAAGCGGATTTGGACTTGAAAGTAAGATAGTTCATAGAAAGCAATATCCAATTAAGGGCTGCCTGAAAAAAAAATCTGTTATAACACAAAATAGATGAAATTAAAAAGAATTTTTTTTAAAGAAACTAAAATGAGATAAAAGAAAAAAAGACAAAAATATAAATAAAAAAGATTAATATATAACAGGTTATACATTAGATACAGTATGTTAGTATTGTGTCTCAGGGCTCTTTGGATCATTGAAATCAATCTCAGACACCTGTGATAATTTGTTTGCCAGGTGAGCCCAATCAAAGGAAAACTACTTAAGAAGGACGTTCCACATTATTAAGCAGGCCACAGGTTTCAAGCAATATGGGAAAGAAAAAGGATCTCTGCTGCTGCTGAAAAGCATCAAATAGTGCAATACCTTGGACAAGGTATGAAAACATTAGCTATATAACGAAAACTTAAGCGTGATCGTCGTACTGTAAAGAGATTTGTGGCTGATTCAGAGCACAGACGGGTTCGTGCAGATAAAGGCATAATGAGGAAGACAGAAAGCCAGACAAATTCATCGGATTAGGAGAGCAGCTGCTACAATGCCATTACAAAGCAGCAAACAGGTATTTGAAGCCGCTTGTGCCTCTGCAGTCCCGCGAACCTCAAGGTGTAGGATCCTCCAGAGATTTGCAGTTGTGCATAAACCTGCTATTCGGCCACCCTTAAACAATGCTCACAAGCAGAAACGGTTGCAGTGGGCTCAGAAATACAGGAAGACTAATTTTCAAACAAACGGTCTTGTTTACTGATGAGTACTGTGCAACCCTGGATGGTCCAGATGGATGGAGTAGTGGATGGTTGGTGGATGGCCACCATGTCCCAACAAGGCTGCGACGTCAGCAAGGAGGTGGCGGAGTCATGTTTTGGGCCGGAATCATTGGGAGAGAGCTGGTAGGCCCCTTTAGGGTCCCTGAAGGTGTGGAAATGACCTCGGCAAAGTATGTAGAGTTTCTGACGGACCACTTTCTTTTGTGGTACAAAAAGAAGAACCGTGCCTTCCGTAGCAAAATCATCTTCATGCATGACAATGCACCATCTCATGCTGCAAAGAATACCTCTGTCATTGGCTGCTATGGGCATAAAAGGAGAGAAACTCATGGTGTGGCCCCCATCTTCCCTTGACCTCAACCCTATTGAGAACCTTTGGAGCATCCTCAAGCAAAAGATCTATGAGGGTGGGAGGCTGTTCACATCAAAACAGCAGCTCTGGGAGGCTATTCTGACATCCTGAGAAATTCAAGCAGAAACTCTCCAAAAACTCACAAGTTCAATGGATGCAAGAATTGTGAAGGTGATATCAAAGAAGGGGTCCTATGTTAACATGTAACTTGGCCTGTTAAGATGTTTTTGATTTAAATAGCTTTTGATTTCAGTAAATATGACCTCCTAATGCTGCAAATTCAACAAGTTACCATTTTTGGTTTTTTACAACCTATAAAATGTTTTGTTTGTTGTGCATAATAATTTGGAACAGTGCATTTTGACTTTTATTTTTGAAAAAAATACTGTTATTATTGGGAGGTTTGTTCGATAAAATTTTAATTATACTCTAATGGTTGATGACTTGAAAATTATACTGTGTCATTTGCATCGACTATTTAGGAAAATCTGAGAAAAATAACATTTGCATAATAATTTGGAACGCGCTGTACTGAGGGCAGGAACCTGGAAAAAAATCTGTAAAATTTCACATTCATTTCAATTCCTCTGTTCATTTTACTTTACTTAAACAACTTCACAACATGATGGTCTGAAAGCTGTTTTCTAAGAACTTCCTCCACTTCACTCCATTTTCAGTTCTGGTGAGGAAACTTGCTGCCTTAGTGAACAGTAGATATTTATGTATTTTTTATTTTGATTTCTGAAAATAGTCAAATTAATGATCTTGGTTCTAAGAAAAAAATATATATATATGGTATCTGCTTTAAAAACCCCTGTTAAACTTTAAGATACTGAGTATCAGCTGCATTTCAGGTCTCCTGATTCCCCCAAAATATTCAGAGGACAGGACCTCCCGGCTTCAAGGGAAGCTACAGCCTCGAGAGACACAAGAGCTGCTACAGAACATGTGTTCAGATCAGCTCATAACAGTCAGTGAATATGACTTTGTTTTCATAACTACATAATGATATGCTGGAGTAAATCCAAAGATCTAGTGTGATGGATCACAGCTCTGCTTCTCCATCTACCGACGGTCGAATGGAGGAATCTGGGAGTGATCAGAGATACTGTCAATTCTAAATTATTCCTTCAAATAATCATTCAAAAGCAAAGTGAACTTTTGATGAGATAATGAGAGTTACAGTATTGTAAAATAAATAAAATACAAAAAAAACACTAGTGAACATTTTAAATGTAGCATTTAATTCCAGCTTTCCTTCATCTTTCTTTGGAAAAAAAAAAAGAAAAATGACAGAAACCTGAAGTACAGATGTTCAAATGTTTATTGGAAAAACTGAAAATGTTCTTTTGCTAGACAGATAAAGCTGTATCAATGAAAATAATACCCCCTTTTATGTTATTGTCACAGCCCAAGTGCTGTTTCGAAAGATTTTTAACCAATCTTTTGATGATCAAAGAAGGAGCAATGGCTGCTTCTCATCATCAAAATGTCAAATACACCCGATAAGAAACTCCTTCCAACATTGCAATACAACATGTACCCACTTGACTAAATCCTCTCCACTCAAGGACACCGACACAAATCCAACCCCACAAGGTTACAAGTGTATTGTTTTCCTCCTGTTGTGGCTTTTGCATCACCCTGACCTGGCTGAGAACCAGCTCTAAGTTGCTTATAAAAGGGAAAGCCCCGATCTCTGAGGCAGCTTTTATCGGTCCGCCTGGTTGTGTGCAGGTTGTTTTAAATCTGCCTCCCTATGCCCCATGGCTCTGATCCCTGCTTGTGAACTGGCGATGACTCCTGTGGGTTTGGATGACATACTGGCAGACTTGGTCTCCATGTCTCCGAATGCCACCATCGTGCAATCACCGGGCGTCTCTGTGGCAACCAGAACCCTAATACTGCTTGTCTGTCTGCTGCTGGTCGCCTGGAGTCACACAGACAAGAAAACTATTCCAGGTAGGTTCATACATCGGGTCGTTCATCAGCATTGACACTTTTGCAGTTTCTCTATTTGTGCTGAAATCTACTTATTTGTCATTTACCGCAACAGGTCCTTCTTTCTGTCTGGGTGTGGGGCCACTTCTGTCATACATGAGATTCATCTGGACTGGTATAGGCACAGCCAGCAACTACTACAACAATAAGTACGGAGACATCGTCAGAGTCTGGATCAATGGAGAGGAGACCCTAATAATCAGCAGGTTGGTTTTCTGTTAATCCTTAAAGTTACCAAAACACTCAATCCAAGTGTGAATCTATCATCTGTATTTATATATTTCTTTATTTATTGCACCATAAGGCCATCAGCAGTGTACCATGTACTGAAGAATGGACTTTATAGTTCACGTTTTGGGAGCAAGCAGGGACTCAGCTGTGTTGGTATGAATGAGAGAGGCCTCATATTTAACAACAATGTCACTTTGTGGAAAAAGATGCGCACCTATTTCACCAAAGGTAACATTTTCACACATTCAGCCCTGCATACATACTCATTGATCCAGTTATTCAGATATGAAATATTTGACTAATCTCTAATCTCAGCTCTGACAGGTCCAGGTTTGCAGACAGTGGAGGTTTGCGTCTCCTCCGCACAGACTCACCTGGACGACCTCCACAGTCTGAGTCACGTGGACGTCCTCGGCTTGCTGCGCTGCACCGTGGTCGACATCTCCAACAGACTCTTCCTGGGGGTACCTGTGGATGGTGAGTAGGCATGCCTTCATTTGTTGAGAAATCTGTTCGTCTGGAGCAAACGCACATGAGTTTGAATTCATCAGCTTCTGGGCAGTTCAGATACAGTGAATTTATGTTACCGTTGTGTTGTGTTCCTGACACATTTGTTTACCCTGTGTGCAGAGAAAGAGCTGCTGGTGAAGATTCACAAGTATTTTGACACGTGGCAGAGTGTGCTGATCAAACCGGACATCTACTTCAAGTTGGACTGGATTCACCAGCGGCACAAGACTGCAGCGTGAGTCACTTTATTATCCACGTTATCAAGTTTCTTCATGCGTGAGCCTACTGTTAGGATCTTTTCTTTTTGCGGCTGAGTTCTTTTAACAGTCAAATCAAGTGTCATATATCTGTTGTCTCACAGCCAGGAGCTGCGAGATGCCATAGAGAGCCTTGTGGAGCAGAAGAGGAGGGATGTGGAGCAGGCAGATAAACTGGACAACATCAACTTCACCACAGAGCTCATATTTGCACAGGTCAGTCTGAGAATCTGAATTGCTTCCTCCTGCTCATATGTGAAAATTCCTCTTATGGTGAAATATCATCCATGTGAAGACAGTCAGCTTATTCACGTGTGTGTGTTTTCAGAACCACGGCGAGCTGTCTGCTGAGAACGTGTTGCAGTGTGTGTTGGAGATGGTGATCGCGGCACCAGACACCATGTCTATCACTCTCTTCTTCATGCTGCTGCTCCTCAAACAGAATCCAGATGTGGAGCTGCAGCTGCTACAAGAGATCGACACTGTTGTAGGTAAGGAGCTGGGAGAATCAAGACTGAAAGACACTGGCACTGACAACATGTAGTATGGATGAAGTGCTGCCTACCGATGCTAGATTTAAAAAGCTCATGCTTTCACCACCTGATCTGCTACACATCAAAGGTGCATTTTAATAAATGCAGAGTGTAATATTGAAATGAGATACAGTTTATGTCAAACAAAATAATGTGCATGTGAATTAAATAAGTTTGTCAGACTGCTGCCAGTTTATTAGGTACAACAGTACTAATAATGACAATCCTGCAAAGGGTTAAACTGCTTTTGTTTGTAGTGTTGTTGACTTGCGTTGTGTTACAAGCACAGCTGAAACAGTTTCAACAAAAACTGAGGATTTTTTGCAGGACTGTTGTATTAGACTGCACTGCACTTACTTTTAGCTAGGTGTACCTAATAAACTGGCACCTGGGAGTATGGCAGTAGTGATATGTCATTGCCCTGGTCTTGCTACCTACAGGTGAGAGACGGCTTCAGAACGGGGACCTTCAGAAGTTGCAGGTGCTGGAGAGCTTCATCAATGAATGTTTGCGCTTCCACCCTGTGGTGGACATCACCATGCGTCGAGCCCTGTCTGATGACATCATAGGGGGCTACAGGGTCCCAAAGGGCACAAATATCATTCTCAACACCGGTCGCATGCACCGGACAGAGTTTTTCCGCAAACCAAATGAATTCAGTCTGGAAAACTTTGAAAAAAACGTAAGTAGGCGTTTTGTTTTTTTTCATGTAAAGTATAAAATTATATGATTAAATAACAAAGTGAATAAATCAACTCTTAAAGACATTCAGTCTCACTATGACCAATGGGCGCCTGCATGAACACAATTTTTTTCATATTTGACATGAGAGATTTCTGTTGTCGTCCTTGCTCCTCTCACTAGTTTGAGGCTGCGGACTTCTAATAAACAATATACAGTTAATTAAAAGTATTTTACAGTATGTGACAGAAAAATAGTACCTCCTCCTACCTCTCTCATCCGTCCTCTGCCCCGCCCCTTCGTCCTCCTCCAGGCTCCTCGCCGTTACTTCCAGCCGTTTGGTAGAGGCCCTCGATCCTGCGTTGGCAAGCACATCGCCATGGTGATGATGAAATCCATCCTGGTGACGCTGCTCTCTCAGTACTCTGTTTGTCCCCATGAGGGCTTGACCCTCGACTGCGTCCGACAGACCAACAACCTCTCCCTACAGCCTGTAGAGCAGCAGCAGGAGGCCGAACATCTCGGCATGAGGTTCTTACCCAGGCGGAGAAGTAGCTGGCAAACACAAAGATAAATATATATGAGCTCCATTGCTTCATTTACATTGTCTCATGACTGTACAGAGTTTAAGTGTTATATTTTGGATTGTATGTATTAAAATTGTGTTTCTCCTGGAATTAATAGGCACTGTGTGGAAAGTTTATACACACACACAAGTAAATGTAAATTGTTGCACCGATATTGTGTGTTGTTGTCTTCTTTTTGGGTGTTTTCTCATTTCTTCTATATATGTTATCATTATATAAATATGTAGATATTTGGTTTTCAGAAGAAGACAATGACTCTTGGTCGTTCTTTAAAATGATCGACACACTTCCTTAATTTAACTCTTATTTTACTTCTCTTTTTAAATAAATTGATATTTTATTTTTTAGCAGAATTTTGTGTTTAAAAGGTGCAATATGAATGAAATTTATGAATTTTGTGAAGATAGCATCTCTAAAATCTTTTGTATTAAACGCAAACCCCAACTCTGAAAAGCCTCAGATAAAAGAGGAGGAATGACGCATGTTTATAAGATGGGGATGCTTTTTTATTTGCACATACTGGTCAGGAGAGGGCACTGCAGCACATCACATAATGACTTGCTCTTTATCTCCAGCACAGCCTAAATAAAGCAACCAATCTGTTCATTACATCCAAATGTGCTGCCTCTGGGCAAACATGGCAGAACATTTCACACACAGATGCTTCAATTTGTTTTGCTTCCACTTTCTAAACACCAGGGATTACACTGAAAGACCATGGGAAGCGCCACTTGCAAACATGTTTGTTTAATAAGATAAAAGAAACCGACGTGGGGGCTGGTGAAGTAGAAACGTAGAGAAAATATACACGTGAATAAGGTTTTCAGGCGTATGATAAAGTTCCTCCAGAGATGTCACCCATCAGCTCTTGTCTAAAATAAAAGTGTCAGTGTTCACACACACACACACACACACACACACAAATCAATATCTGCAAAACAACATTTCACTACCTCAGCAACAAGTTTGTCCAGTGTATGTGTGAGTGCATGTGTTTGTGTGTGTTTGTGCTGTATTCGAGTTCATATTGAGACTGAAGGTTGGTGATGTGTTTTTTTTTTTCTCCATAAAATGTTATTTTCCAAATATCATCTGTATATATGTGCACGTAAATAGCACTGTGTGTGTGTGTGTGTGTGTGTGTGTGTGTGTGTGTGTGTGTGTGTGTGTGGTAGGTGTTCTCTTGTTTGTGTGTGTACTACAAGCTGTTCCTTGCAGGTTTCCTGGGATATAGCAAATGAATCACTACATCTCATTAACCTCAGTCTCATTCCTGTCCTCCATCCAGATGGAAATCATCTCACTGCAGTAGCTCTGACTGCACTTTGTTAGATGTATCTTGAAAATCTACCAGGAAAACATTCTTCTTCATAATAATCTCCATCATCTCCGTAAAGCTTCGTGCCACTAATGAGTTAAGAGAGAATTAAGTCATTAAAAATGGATGTAGATAGAGGAATACGGGGGAAATATCCAGCTGAATTTGCAGTAAATCGGTTGCTGCCGAGTTCCTATCTGCTCCTGTCCGCTTGTTTTTCTACAACCAAGAAACTTTTTCATCTTTTTTTCTGGCGATTGAAGTTGTAAATTACTGTAATAATAATAAAAAAAAAAACATGTATTAATCTATAACCGTATGTATTATAGCACATAGTAGTGTACAGTAGCTTCAGGGCAAAAACATGTTTTAATTAGCACCTCCTTAAATAAAGGCCTCATACTGTCGTTTTCAATTACCATCAATATCCACCTATCTATCCGTTAGGTGGAGATGTTATGAGATATTTCTTTCTGGACCAAAGCAGTGGACTGACCAATCAACAGACAGACACTGCCATCCCTATACTTACTGACACTGAGAAGTTTTCTGTGTGTCCTTAAAGCAAAGTAAAAAAAAAATAAATAAAAAGAAGTAGTAAAAGTTTTGGCTGTCAGAATTCAAGCATCAAAAAATAATGGTGGCAGCTCCAGCTGTTACTATAGTGGAGGAAGTGTGGGGAGCTACAGTATACAGTCGCCTACATACTGAGCTAATGTGAGTCCTCTGGCTCCAAACTTGTGGGATATCAGGCATCTGCAAAACAGATCTGTGGTAACTTTCACTTCAAGTCTACTAGTGGGGACTAGTGTGTGTGTGTGTGTCTGTGTCTGTGTGTACGACTGTGTCAGATTAGGAAATATTTTTAATGGGGAATTGAATAATACTTTTGGTTTCAAGCTGTGTAAGCTTTGCCTGCCTTTGGGACAAAGATTGCCTGTGTCTGTCACTATGATTGCAGTTGCATCATTCCAGTGTCGTCTAAAGTCAACAGTTTTCACACTTTGAAACACTTTGCGTTTTAAGGTAGGGTACGGCAAAGCAAAAAAAAGAAAATCTGTAACACAGAACTTCATTTTACTTGGACCAGCAAGCAACATTTGAAGGTATTGAATCGCAACAGCTCGCCTTTCAGAATCTGATGCACGTCTTTGAAATATTCAGTCTGTTCTTTCTCTTAAGGAAGTCCATGGTTCTTCATATGTGGTTTTTGTTAGTCACATGATGTATATTTTCCGTCTCATTCCATTTATTTCTATTGCCGCATGACAGATTTATAGAGGCAGGAAGCCAGACAGCTTTTAAAATAACTCCGACGTAAGAGCCTCGCAGCAAAAAGTTTAGACCGTCCTGCCTCGCACTATGATTGACAATCTGATTGATTACATGCTGCTCACCGGTCCACTCACTCACTCACTCACACACACACACACACACACACACACACACACACACACACACACACACACACACACACACACACACACACACACACACACACAATGTGGTGCTAAAATTCGGAAATGCCAGTGGCCATATTGTCTCTCTGTTTCAGTCCCCTGCTGTATTATTGCTTCATTAAAAGAGAGCCTTGGTTGCTATGGAAACATCTACCAGAAAGGATAAACTGGCAATGTACTCATCTCTCTACATTGTCGGTACACTGTCAACAAGGACTGTACCTCCTACAGTTAGGAATGACACTGTTTTCCACGCTGCTGGGAGATATTTGCTTATTTGGATGTTTCTCAGCCTCCCTGATGCTGTGTGCTCGTATGATCACAAGACAGCAGTACCAAATATGTAGCCAGACTCCCCTTGAAACAGGAGTGAATCTCTCTGATCAGGCCGGTCTGTGTGAAGAAGCCGAGACTGGAAGGCTCTCGGCCAGTAAAGGCACTGGATCAAAGGCAAACTTTAACTTCATAGCCTTTTCATGCGGCCCGCTTAGCAAAGTCAGCTCATTTGTTTCTCATTGAACATCAGAGGAGAGTGGTGGTGCACGTCATTACAGGAAGCTCTTCTGCTTCTTCTTCTTCTGTCAGCCTCTGTCTCTGTCGACTCAATATAAGCCAGCCTTGCAGGTTGGGGCTGCAGAGTTTGGTACACCAGCTAATCTATACATGGATGCGGTTGTTTCTCTTTCTTTTCAGTCCATCCGTTTGTCTTTTAACACCAGTTTGGCTTTAACTTGGAAAGTTAAGGAATTCAAACATTTCCAAACATGTCTATTACAAACGCTCACTTAAGACGGGTCATAATCAGTGGTGGAAAGTAACTAAGTAGATTGACTCAAGTAAAGTACCTCAGTACAATTTAAAGACACTTGCAAACAAAGAATTATGTCTCTTCTCTCGAGGTCTACGAATAAAACCTGCCACAAAAAAGTTCCAACAGCACTTAAAGTACAGCCATACAATGCCACCCTACTTGTTGCTACTTTACACACCTTAACACTTCTACTACCGCTACACTTCAGAGGGAAATATTATGTGTTAACGCCACTATATTTATTTAACAAGTTAGTTATTAGTTAGTTGGAAACGGGGACAAATATTTGATGATCAAAACATACAATCAATTTATTTAATATGTTCTAGTTTAACTACTAAATAGAGCTCTGGTTTCCTCTCTCAGTCCGAAGACATGCTGGTCAGGTAAACTGGCGCCTCTCTAGGTGTGACTATAAGTTTGAATGGTTGTGTCTGCGCAGAGACAGACTGGCGATCCGTGAAGAGCGCACCCCACCTCCGGCCTTATGTGAGCTGGGACAGGCTCCTTCCCTTGATAACTGATGGATTAAACGACATCCCAGCATATAATGTATTTATATTTGCTTCAGCTCGACCAGCAACAACATAAAAGTCTAGTTAAAAATTACTTCACCTGTAACAGTAATCCTATAATATAACACTCTTTGCCTTTCTTCATGCCAAGCAGTTTTTTGATATTTAAGTATTTTAATGATAATAATCACACTTATACTCAAAAAACTAAATATAGGACCTTCATTTGTGATGTATTTTTACACTGTGATATGAATTCTTCGTTCACCACTTTCCACTGGCCTTATTATCTCCTGTTAGTGTAGTGTGGTTAGTTTGTCCTATCCAGCAGAGACACAGTAGATTTGACAGTAGCTTGTAGTTATACAAGAAAAAGAACTTACAAAGTGAATAGCCCCACTATTACTGATGGCACATTTATGATGATGGTGATTGTATCAGAAACAAAATTACCTGAGGCTCAGCCAAAACGCAAGAGCTCACATGCAAAGGCCAGAGGTACTGCACTGGGCTCTAGAATAATATTCCGTTTCAATTTTATGTTTGGGTTTCTCATAACTTTTGACTTTATAAAAAAGTGGAAGTACTCTTCCCAGAAAACCAAAATAGTGTAGATTTACTTTTATGGCTCTCTGTCTCAGGGCAGATACGTTTTGTTTTTCATGCTTTACTCCATTTCACATCAGGTCAAAGAAGTGTACAGCTTTACTGTGGGGATCAAAGTAGCTCAGCTTTTTGTGATTTCTGGCGTATCTTCTTTGTCAATGCAATATTGAAGAATGAGTGCACACACACACACACACACACACACACACACACACACACACACAATGTCAAAGATAAATGCGCCTTGGGCAGCGGGCAGGCAGGCCAATGCCATCTGGTGCCCAGCGTTCACGCTGAGCAACAGTCAGCTCCACACCTGGGAGATAGTATAGCCTGCAACTGTTGTCGGACCACCAACTGCACTCCCACCTGCCCCCTCACTTCTGAATCTGAGCTTTATGTTGTCTCACACACTGAAGACAGAAAGTAATTCAAGTTAATTAAAAGAGAAACCCACCCTGAGATGGTTTTTTTTATACACCACCCTGTCTGTCATGTTCAATATCTGGAAGCTATTTTGTGACTGTTTTTCAATTAGAGACTGCCTTCCTACAGTATTTCCCAGAATTCCTCTATATCTTTATAGTTTTCAGCTGTGGGAAACAGAGTAAGATTTGCTTTGTAGTGAGACGTCCAGTGAAAATCACAACCTTTACCTAAAACACAAACTTTGCCACTTTCATTTGGTGGAGAAATTGTTCTTCTACAAACTTTTTTTCTCTGCATGATTGTTAAATGTGGAAGTGAGTCACCAAAGCTGTTATTGACTCTGATGCCAAAACCTGACATTTTGTTGCTATAAACATTTTTTGTGATTTGCCCATTATCTGTCAATTTAAGCAAATATTGCAAAAATTATTACCAATAACTGCATTGAAAGCAGATTTTCTTTTTCTTTGTTTGCTTGGGGGCAGCAGAAAAAGCTATAAACAAAGACATAGCCTATGACCTTGTGACGCCAATGTCATCTTTAATTTGGAGTTGGTGTATTTTGTTTTTTCATTTTTGTTTGTTTAATTTTCTTAAAGGAACTATTTGTAAGTTTTACTATTGCTGCGTAGCCAACGTTAGCGTTAACAGCTGTTCACTTTCTTGCCAAGACCTTCAGCCACCGTTGCGTTTACAAGACAAGAGGTTATAATACGTCCTCTGAGCTGCACTGCTTCTTCAGGGCAGCCTGGATGCTACTCAGTATCAGAAAGAAGGTGAGCATGCTAACTACAGTAGAAGAAATGAAATGATAGAAATAGAAGCAAAGTAAGATGGCTGCTTTCCACCTCTGCAGACAGCGTTTGGCGATTAAAAGAATGAAGTTTGATGCTGAACTCGCAACGTTTCTTCCAGACTGGTAAGTAAACAGCTGTTAGTGCTAAAATTGGCTACGTAGCGATGGCGAATCTTACAAATAGCTCCTTTAATTTAGAGTGTAAATCCAATATCCTCTCTAATTTTAGTGAATTTTGGGGAAATCTATCTGGCTATTTAGCTGCAAAAAGCTCCGCTGTGGTCACCAGCTAGTCATTAACTTTATCTGCTGTCTGCTGCATGCAGTTGGTTTATGAGAGCTTCTTCTTTTAAAACAGTTGTCTGCTGCTGGAAAACAAAGTTGACATGGGTAGTGAGAGTGAACCAAAACAGCGAAGTTGTGAAACAGCTGAGGGGAACTGCAGAGTCACGTGATGCTGCAATTCTCACAGCTTTGAAGAACACATCACGTATTGTAAACACTTAGTACAATGGAAAGAAGAATGTAAAGTTTCATGAGTCATCATCTGATACAACTCAAAAACTACTTTCCCATCACACTTAAAGGATCCAAAACATTTCAGATCCCTTCAATGATTACTGTAGTTAGTAAAACAAAGACTTGGCTGAACTTAATGCAGCCACCACATTATTGTTATCTGACTGATTCTATAAACAGCCAGTAACAAGTGGTCATGGGATTTTTTACTGCTGGAGATGAATTTCAAGTTGCCATGAATGACTCTCTCCCATTGCTCTGCTAAAACACAGGCAGCACTCTTACCCAGAGACAGAGAGAGGGAGGAAGAGAGAGAGAGGAAGAGACGGCACTTACAGCATACAGAAAGAGGTAGAGAAAGAGTTTGAGTGGAGAGAGCGTGAAGAGGCCGAGTGTGACAGCACCGAATGAGAGGAGGAGGAGGAGGAGGAGGAGGAGGAGGGACTGAGTGGAAGGGACAAGGGAGGGAGAAACAGAGAGGGGGACGGACCGAGAGTGAGCAAGGGGAGGGAGTATCAGAAACGGGGTAAGTAGATGAGAGGGAGAGGGAAACTGAGGGAGTCAGGAGAAGAGAGGAGAGCAAAGGGAAAGGAGAGCAAAAAAAAAGAGAGAGAGAGAGGAGGACAGCTCAGCAAATCAGCCCAGTAGCATTCCTCTCACAGCTGCAGTGATCTAGGCTGGGAGAGGAAGTTTATCTCGCCAGAAGAGAAAAGAAAAAATACAAGAAATTGTATTTTTATTTTTTTCTGTGGGTGAATAAATCGGAGGACTCCCTGGAGAGGAAAGGGAACATTAAGAAAGAGGAATCAGAGAGCTTCTGCAGCCTCCGAGTGTCCTCCAGGGGAAGATGGATTCAGACTCCGGAGAGCAGAGTGACGGAGATCTCTCTCCAGGTAAGCCCCAAGACCATTTCTGCATCAGTTTCTGACATGATGTGGTTACTAGACCTTAAGCAAACAAACTGAACTGTATTAGTTATCCAGATGGCCAGTGAGTTCTTTCTTCCTGATTTCCAGTACGTTTTCAGCATTTTTATGAGGCTGTACCTTCATCAACTTTACTATTTTCTTAACAATGCAGACTCCTTGCACTGATCAGCAGTTCGCCTACACATATGAATACTAATTTAACACCTGAAGTCAAGAATCCCACCATTTTCAGCTGTAAGAGTCTTTCACACTTTATCCAGTATCTGTAGCCCATAGCTGCCGCTGTGAGCTCTGTGAGCGTGGACACTCTGATGCTGGTGACTGGCAGAGCCTCGCTGAGTGTGCGTATGAAAGCCGGCTCAGTCACCACCAGGAACAGGCAAGCTCCAACACGTGCAGCCAGTTTGTTCATCAACACGTCCAGCTACAGAAGAGAGCACAGCCTCCCTGAACGCTAAAATCCTTCTCTTCTCAGTGTTGCACTCAGGGATAATGAGAATGTTTTAGAGTCACAGTTCACTGAGGACAGAGCAAAGATTTATTGCAACAATGCGAGTTAACAGCTGGACTCGCGCATTAAACATACAGATACACACACACAGACAAAGTTAGGAGTCTCCCACTGGATATTTCCCAGCATTCCAAGCTTGTGGGCAAATTCATTGAACTGTGATCCTGTGGAAAATTCAAGTCAGGAGATGAAACAGTCTCCTGGAGATAAGTTTGAGTTCAAAGATCATGAATCAAATGCGTCTCCAGGAGGTTTTCATAACTCGGCGCAGCTTACTGGAACAGTCAAATACCTGCACTGTATGTCACCTAGAACTGAAACTTTTCCTCTTTGCTCCTTGATGTAATCCCTGTAAATATTCACACTGACGCACTTCATGAGTTTAACGTCTATTAGAGAAACTGTGGGCTCCTCCATCACGTGTGTGTACGGACTGCCCTTGGATACTATTATACTATACTGAAGGTGTCCGATGATGAATGTATAATTTATCAGGGCATGTTGTTGCCCCCGGGTAATGATTGTTTAATAAAGTTGATAATGGTGTGGCTGTTTGCCTGTTTATTTGCCAGCTTGGAGCTTTATATGTTAATGATGCTCTGTTGAACTCTGGCCATCTGTCTGTCCATCTGGCCCATTGTCCGTCTGTCTTTTGGTCCATTTGCAAAGGGAGAGGAACTTTAATATGAGCTTCAGACACATCCTCGCTAGGCGATGGCATATATGTGTCATCAGCTAATTTCAGGCAGACAGATCAAGGTTAAAGCATCAACCAGGACTGTCATATGAAGCATTGGTGCAGAATGGCCAAGCCAATCTGCAGAGACAGACGCTTTATCCATTTCACTTTCATGTGAAGTGATGTACACTGTTTTCCAGAGACTGGGCCAGAGGTAAATCATGGAAACATGATCTGCTAAAGCGTCCAGCGATGTAAAGTGGCCAACTCTTTGCAGTGTAAGAGGAATTAACTCTTGTAGGCTTGCCTGTCTTCGGCCTATGAGAACTATGTTACACATGTTGAAAAGGGTGAGGGTGATGTGAGAGCAAAAGCAGAATGACATTTTTCCCGGTCGAGAGAAAGCAAGAGTCTGACTCATACCCAAAATGCATGGTGCTTTGTGGTTGTGCTGCAGCTTCTACTCTTCAGTCTACTGTCAGTGGAAAAAAAAAACTGGAATGGCTCATGTTATAAGGTCAAATGACCCAACAAAACCTGAGCAAATGTATTTTGAAAACAGGTTTATTTTGAAAGCCCTGCTGTACACAAACATGACCCTTATTCCTGGATATGTGGATGAGGGATGTGTGATTGATCCTAAACCTTTTAATATGTATTCTGGCACAAAACTTCAGCAGTGTAAATATTGAAGTATTTTGTTTCGGGTGGCTCTGACCCTTTAGCCTTCTTTTCCGCCCTTGAACTGTTAGTTGTTGTTAGAGAGTGACTTGGTCATTTTCTAGACTTCTCTGCTTCTCTAAATTCACCCTTAGATACATTTTTTTTTTTTTTTTAAATATTAGTAATATTTCCTACATTATATCACTTGTAGTTGCACCAACATCCCCTCACCCTATCTTGTATTTTTCATCAGTTCTACATTTCCCATAATGCCCCACAAAAGCCCCCAGAGAACACACCTGACCTCGGTTCATGTAGCCGCAGGTTATGCTGCCTGCAAGCGAAGCTCATGAGGTTGTATTCTCAGCATAGGAAGTCAAAGGCAACGCATTATGGCTCGAGTTCAAGTGGTTTAAGTCATGAGAACTTTGTTGCTAGGTGACTGGCAATAGATATACCATAGATAAATCATTATCAGAGATGTCCTCTTGAAAAGTCTTGAAAATAAAGACAACATCAAATGTAGTTGGATAAAGCAAAAACAAGTGTGGCGTATTTTATTTTGGTGGAAAAGTTATTCTCTCTCCCCTCAGGTGAATGTAGGTTGTGGTACAAAATGTTCAAATTGCATAAAATGTCTTGTACTTGGATTAATCAGGGCTGACACCAAGATGTGGTCCTTGCTGGTGATGCTCCTGCAGTGACAGCTTTTTTTATTAGTTGAATTTTCAGCCTAAGTGGAAATTATTCAGCGTGACGTCACATAATTTATGTTCATCCAATTATTTCCCCCCGCTAATGCAAGAAAATTTACAAAAAGCACAAGAGAACTGTTTCAGGGGAGACTTGTTCAGTATAGTTTATGACAGGTGATCACGTGAGACTCAGGTGTCTGTAGCTTTTGTCGTGTTGAAGCACAAAGAGCAGCAATACACTGAGCACTACTGTACAGTAACTACTCTGAAAGAAATACAGTTAAGACTCTACACCCCCACACACACACATATACACACACACAAAAGCTCACATTTTTTCCCATAATCATCCAGTCACCCAGTCATGCAGCGAGCACGCCGCTCACCATTTCAATACCCACAAACTGATTCATCCAGTAGTCTTGTCTTTCCTTCCTGTGGTGGACTGGAGACGACCACACCTAATTTATGAGTCAAAGCGAGGCTAACTGTTCACACACCTGCTCTGCTGGAGGACTGTTGGAGAGCACATCACACAATGTGTGCGCAGCAGAGACTGGACACTTGCATTTCACCACAAACTGATACTTCAGGAAGTAATGATTTGCACAAAATCCTGCATTCTGGTTTGAGTTATTTGTTACATTAGTTTGACATTATGTTGGAGGACAGTGAGTAATCAGCCCACGGTCTACTTTTTGGCTGATTCATCACGGTGATGCGACTGGCTATAACACCATAACCAAGTGCAGAGCGATTTCTAAAGAGTTCAGATATATAGAGCAGACTTGTTGAAGAGAAAAGCTGTTTGGCTGTTGTAATAACAGCTGTGAGATTCAGAAGGGCATGAGGGCTGTTGCTGTGGTTCTACTATAAACACAAAAACTGCAGATGTTGTTTGATGACACAACTGACGTTTAATCCTTAGCCAGGTAATGTTCTTCAGCACTGACATATTCATATACTCACACACTCCACAGCTCTGTTGCCTTGATTAATTGCCTCAAATGCACACTTCCACAAACACTTCAAAACTCTGCATCAGAGACGACAAGGAGTATCATTCAATCAGAGGGGATCTTCTTCTTCATGATTGCCATGTTGGCAGACCGGCCACATGCTTTACACATGAGAGACAAGCAGAGCAGGCGAGCCCTGCAGACACTATAACACTCGCATACACCAATAAACGCGCACACACGCTGAAGCAATGCCCACACGCTTCTTGCTCACTCCCTTGGTCTTGTGCTCTCACAACACATGCATCTCTGAGTTTTTTTTTTTTTTTCTCCTCCGCCTTTAATCTGGCCCACAGATGGGGAGTGCTCAATGCACCCTAGTCCTCTACACACAGAGAGAGAGAGAGAGACACACACACACACACACACACACAAACGAGACACCAGGAGCTGGTTCTGGAAAATTGTAACATGAACTGAGAAAAAAAAAAGAAGAAAACAGAAGTGAAGCTGTAAGTGGAAAAGGCGACTCAGGAGAAAGTGGTTTTTCCTCTAGCTGCAGTGAAAGACAAATCCTAAAACTCCAGGTCCAGGTCCCTGACCGGTGTGTGTGAGTGCATTTTCCCTTGTATGCACATGCATGAGCTGACAAAATAATACTGTGGCATTTCATAGTGTTTGTGGGACATTTGGAAAGAGAATTGTTTCCCCACGACTGAGCCATTACTGAAACATGGACTTAGACCACAGAGGCATTTTGACAAGGCCTCATAGACACTCAGAGGAGGAGGAGAAGGCTGTGGTTTTACTGGAGGGCCAGTCGAAGCAGAGCAAATAGTCGCTAGTGGCGTCTGGTGTGAGAGGCAAACTGTTTGAGGGAGGGAAGTGTATATTAAGGGAAGGCTGGATTGGCGTCAGTGGAGCATTGAGCCTGTACAGGTATCTAGACCTATGAATGCTGTACGTGTGTGCGCTGTGATACAGGCGATTGTATGCGTGTTGTTTTATTTCGTCATTTGAGTTGACTTAATTTCATAATCATTGCTAGAAATTTCTGAGGAAGGATGTTTCTTTATTTAGGTCTGGTTTGTGGTTTCAACTTAGACTTTATTGTTCGCACAAGTTTTCGCCATTAGTGCCTGACGCGTTTGTGGAAACCACTGGAGTCTGGGTTTCTCTTACCTACTGTCTCCTAACATGACCTTACCATGCAGATTATTTCAAATTAAATGGAGACTTTTCCGCTGCCACTTACCTATGATGAAAGCAAAGAGGCAACAGAAAATGAGTCAGAGTGGGAGGCAATTACACACAGAGCTTTTCACACTTAACTGTGGCACAACTCAAATAGCTGTGCTGATTATAGCACTATAAGATTGTGGTAGGAAAAAGTAGAGTATCCATGTTCAGCATAATATACAGTATCACAACAGTTAGTGGAGCAGTATATCACTTTA